TAAACAAATAAAATATAAAATCCCTAGACATGCTTTTGTACTTGTTTTTATTGTTTTAGTTTTAGCAAAATATACCCAGTGTCTCAATAATTTCCGAATAGCCCGTATATAGAATTTAAATAAATAGCTTTTATCGAATTTTATATTTGTTCAGTGTTTTCACAGAAAAATAATGATTGTACATGTTACACTTGTAGTCCTGATTTCAAAATCAAGAGCTACATGTGTCAGTGCATATTCTGTGTTACATTTGCAAAATTTCTTACTCAAACTAATGAAACAAAATCATATGTCCATTCATTACTTTCTTGATTTATTAATTTTCATTTATTAAAGAAAGAGACATGGAATTTGGTTTTTCGTTTTAACCGACAATTTGTTGAGGGTTTGAACCATTCCTGAAAATAAAAAAAAATCTGCAAATGTTCTTTAAATGTTATAAAAAATATTTTAGTGCATCTTATTTATTTTCCCTAGATTCAATTGCTAACTAACGACTTCTACTTCCGTAGAATTATTATGTACATTTAGATCTACACATGTATTCTTAATTAAATTGAAATATACGAGGGTTTTCCTGAAAAGTCGTAGGCAATGTTTTTTTTTAACACGCAACCAATACTAACCAAATTTTGCATAGACTTCATTCAACGTTCTTTAAAATTGTGAATTCTTTAATATATATCTTTCATATTAATTATATTGTTACAATTTATATGAAAGCCTATATGGGCTGTCGGCGCATGATCAAAATTCAGAATAATTTACGCATTTAATTTTTACATTTTTTTTCTTTGAAACTGTGTAAAAGATTGAACTAAAATTTAAATCACTGAAACCAGAATTCAAATCTAAATAATATATCAAATTTTCATATAAATAGCATTAGAAACAGACGATTGGTGGCATGATTTCAAAGTGTTGTTCGAATTGAGATTGATGAAAATGACGTCGTCCAACGCGTATCCAGCACACAGAAATGTAAAAAAAAATTGTTTTTGATATGTTTTATATTCATCAGAGACAGGGAAAAAAAGTACCGAAAGGACATTACACACTATATTTTAATAGAATTTTTTTTATAGTATGAGATTCAAAGAAAGTTTTTCCTCAGAGGGTCTATATCGAAAAAAGGTTATTGCATATAATGTAGAGTACTGATTGTTTAACACTGACATTTGAGAACGTTCTGGGCCATGAACGTTGTCAAACAAGGTGTATTCTCTGTCGCCTAAAATTTAAGGCGATCTTTCAACTACATGTAATTTAATTTTGACTAAAACTTGACTCTACTTAAATAAGAAAGTGTAGTGAAATTAAAATATTCCCTTAGTCAAGATTGTTTTTCGCTGTAAAAATATTCATTCGGATGTTAATAGCCTCATGTACAGCAGAAAAAGGGACCATGGCGTTATGAGAGACGTAATTTACGTTTGCTTTCATGTCCCGATGTACACACACATGCTCTCTTTATTTTTTCATAGCTTTCTTATTTAATGTGGTATTGTCATGAAACTTGTAAAACACATTATCATAAAATGTTACTCTTTGCTATGACAAGAAAAGAAATTTGATTTAGCAAAAAGAAAATAAACTATGTTCTCTGTCTACGACTTTTGGGGACAACCCTCGTACAAGGTAACACCATATTTATAATCAATTATCGTTTTTAGCATTTAACTATATCAATATGAATGTATTGAACATTTTTCTGGCTTAATGTAAGTATAATTAAATATGCAGAGAAAAATCAGTATCAGTAAAAAAAAATGTGTATAGAAAATCCTTAACGAGAATAGTATTTTTTTTTCATTTTCAAGTTCTTCCACACCAGCTATGATTCTCTAGAACCGTTTAAAGTCAAGGTCCTATTATTAAGGGAATTGCAATTAAAAAAATTAATCTATGAACTGTATCACCACGGTAAAATATCATATTAAACTAAATACTATTTCAGCTTAGGCTACAAGGCTTAATTTTTGAACAACTGTTTACATGAAATAGAATGCATTGTAAGATTAAGAAAAATATTAAAAAAAATTACGATGTATACATGTGCAGAGAGTTTTGTTGGTTTCGTGGCAGTGTTACAAATTGTAGGCGCTTTGTGGTAGGTGGAGCTTCGGAGTTTGTGGTAGTTGGTGGTGTGGTAGACGAAATGACCGTTGTGATTGCTGGTGTTGAATTGATAGGTGGTACATAAGGAGGCTTAGTGGTAGAAGTTTGCAAAGTGAGCCAGTTTTTTGTTGTGGTCGGTACATGTGGTATGTTAGGCTTGTTAATATTAATATGCGAAGCATCTCTGAAATAAAGATTTATCAAAATAATATCAACCATCTTTCAATTTTTATTTGATCTTCTTACGAACCATGTCCATCTCATTAATTTTATCAACAAACATTGTGAATGGGAGAATTAAGGGGTGCGACTGTGGTTTCAATTGCGCAACATTTCGCGCATTATAAAAACAAATGAAGCGTTTATGCTGTTTTAAAACAATTTTTTTTCGATCTACTATTAAAATAAAACAAAATAAGATATTACATGTATGAAAATGTAATAACAATACAATTTTAAATAACAAATTTTTTAACCGATGTTGCAATTGATAGGTAGGTCGACGCACATTACAGTATGTTTTTTTTACGTTATTATAAACTGAAGCTCTTTAAGAAAAGGGTAATAAAATGTTAATAAAGAAAAAGTAATTAAAGTACGTTCTCTCTTGAAAATAAAACATAGAAATTTGAGAATTATATTTATCTCCATTACTTTTATTATGTTTTCATATTAATCCTTTGTGCCCGTCAAATTTTGTAGTACTCTATAAAAACAGGAAAATTTGTTAATTTTTTTGTATTTTGAGATGCCCCCCTCTCGTAACAAGATGGTAGAATTCACTTCTCATCAAATATCATAGTTTGAACAAAAAGTCTAGATAGTAGTATTTGTATAATTTGCTTTAAAGGGTCAAAAATTGACATTTCTATATTGTCCTATAGTAAATGTACCTGTTATTTTGAGTTGGTCCATTAAAAAATACCTGGACGGTAGATTGACCTCCAAACTTGACATGTACACTTGAGTAGCTGTATATTATGTATGGTAAAACAAATGAAGAGCTTCGCTTTTGTAGTTTTCACACAATAAAAGCACACTCGGCACCCTTAAATATGAATCTGACTGATAAGACACATCCAATGTGAACTGTTTTTTTTTTTTCATAAAAACACAGTATCTTAAAAACAAATTCCCTTAAAAATTTTATTAAATACTATCTAGTGCAATTATTCCATATTTCGTAGAAAGTAACAAAGTTATTCCATAAATTATAGAAAATTAAGATTTTTGACATTAGTTTCCAGGTTAACATAACAAGAGGCCCAGGGGCCACAGCGCTCACTTGAGCACATCGGCTAGGAAAAAGCACATATAAGATCAGAGCTGAAAATTTACGGGGGGGGGCTTTAATTTTAACCCCCAGGGGTTCATGATTTGAACAAACTAGAATCTACACTACTTGAGGATGATTCCATATAAATATCACTAATCATGGCTTTGAAGTACTTGAAAAGAAGATTTTAAAAGGTTTCCCATTATATCCCTATGTAAAACTTTTGGCCTCACCCTAGCCCCGGGGGTCATGATTTGAACAAATTTGAGTCTACACTACCTGAGGATGATTCCACATGAGTTTCATCTTTCCTGGCCCAGTGGTTCTTGAGAAGAAGATTTTAAAGATTTTTCCTATACCTTCCTATGTAAAACTTTGATCGGCCATTTTGGCCCAATATTTCGGCCTGATTCATAATCACATCCCCTTTAAAAACGACGTGGCCCTTCATTTGAACAGACTTGAATCCCTTTACCCAAAGATACTTTGTAGCAAGTTTGGTTGAAATTGGTCCAGTGGTTATAGAGAAGAAGTTGAAAATGTGAAAAGATAAGGACAACAACGACGACAACGACAGCGACGACGACAACAATGACGACAGACAACGGACACATTTTTATCGGAAAAGCTCACTTGAGTCTTCGGCTTAGGTGAGCTAAGAATGAATGAGAATCTGATTGAAAAGACTATGTGAAATCTTTTTTATAAGTTATTTCAAAATTCGGGATGTTCAGTTGATTGATTAATGGATTGCTGTTCTTTGTATTTCGCTGAAAGAGACGCCAACATTTAAAGGTGAACAGCTTCAAATTAATAGTTTATAATGTATCCCAGCAAAAAAGCTTCTATTTAGGAGGATTCGCTGTGTACAACTTTGACACAAGGCTGCAAGGCCTTAGAATTTTATATGTCATTGCGACTTGTGACTGTCTCTTTCAGTGTCGGGTAATTGGCGAGGGAAAAATCACTACCAAAGTTTACCTCTAAGGTTTGACGCAACGCCAAGATAGACAGTTGAATCCTTTATATTCCGATCCAGAGGCGGCCGCTCAAAAGGATCAATCAAAAGGTAACACTTACGGTTGCTCACAGATGAAATAGTTATGTTCAGTGCATCTTTCATCATTCCATTGATAGTGTTTCATATGATTTAGCTCAATACAGCTTTCGTCGTGAAGTTTGTTATTCGGCTCCCCTACACTCCAGCCAGTATAGTGACTTATAGATGTTTGTAATGACGCCCATATCCAAGTATTCATTGACTTTATACCTCCGATCCAGTAATCTCCTGTAAGGACAATATTTAAGGAGACACACACTGTATTTAATCTTTTTAGAACAGCTAGTGATTTTTATATATTATTGTTCCAAGAAAGGATAAGTTTTTTAAAAAAAGAAACAATCCTGTTTATTTGAAATCAGCCAAACAACCTATTTAGGAAAAATATTTTATATCGGTTACTCTGTGAGAAGCCATTGGTTCAAAAAATGATGAAATTGATGAATCTGTATTTTTTTCGTTAGTAAATAATAAGCAACTTTATATATCAAATATGGAAAACATATACGTATATTTTTTTACAGATTCACTTTATGGAAGAAAATATATTATGTATCTGGAAATTCATCAAGGGAAAGAGCATTATGATTAACAATCTTTTTAATGTTTAGAAAACCAAAAATTCTGAATAACCTCTCCCACCTCAATCCCCATATACCAACACTTAAAGCAATATTAGCTGCAACTTTGATGTCGGAATTTTTTGTTGCAATATTGTAAATAACTATTTCAATAACTGAAAAAATACCATTATTAAAGTTTTTTGTTCATATTTGCAACGGAAGAACTATTTATAAGCTTGAATCAAAATTACATTATTGTCGTCCTGTACAATAATGATTTCTTATGTAATACTGTATTTTGGATTGTATATAAAAGTCTTCCTTTTACTTTATTTTAGTCCTGTTGATCATAAAGGTGTAAGTTACATACAAATTTATCATAATAACACATTTTAACACCAAAATAAAAATTTCAAAAATGCAGCTCATATTGCTTTAAGCTTATATGTATAGAGCAGCCCCGTCCTCCGGGCTGCAATGAATCCTGTATCTTACCACTGTGGATATTGAGGCGTATGAATTGAGTTAAAAAGTGATCCTCAGCAACGTCTTCAATCTCTGTTATTGTGGAATTCTTAGAGAAGCAGTATTGCTACAAAAAATTAAAGTTATTATTTTTTAATCCACATTTTTTTGGAGTTTTACGTCGCGGGTTCACTGCGGGACGTGGAGACCAGTCCTTCGGATTAGACATCCTGCTAGTATAAACCGAGGGCCAGTGTCGCAGTGTTGGTGATGGTACAAAAAAGATCCATCTGTACATATTTTTTCCTAACTTGTTTAATTTCTTTTATAGGATTTGATTTGTTAATACTTTCATAAAATGAATGTTTTTCTTATGAATTGTTTGGTTTAATGTGTCATCTTTCATATACTGCAGAGACAACACTTCAAAGAATCCAGAAGTAAAGAACACGTACCATGAAGATCCTAACCTATACTTTTTGATACGTTCCACGTATGTACAATATCATTTTCGTATATTTTTATGTGTACTTCAAGAGTATCATTATACTACAGTTATATACTACCCAGAATTTACTAGCTATGCAAAAATTTGCACTTCAAAATATCCCATCCTACTGTAACACCTATGATGGAATTTTCAGCTTTCCTGCTTTTTAGTGAGGTGTTCATAACAATGTCCTTGAATAAAAATCCACACAAAAATCCATGTATAATTACCAAATAATGTCAGATTGTAAGTCTCTGAGGTCTTAGTTGATCATTTACAAACTATAAATATTTCAATAATCACTAATAATTACTAACTGCTTACTAATGCACCGTTCCAGTTGGACTTCGTATTTGAAACAAATAGATAACATCTGGAATTGTAGCTCACCCATCCTCTCTGACAAGTAAACACACCTAACAAATGGAAAATACAATTGTATATTCCTGGTTACACTAACGAAAGGAGGACACAATACTTCGAATTAAAAAAAAAACATTGCTGTTTTTTTCTGTTTGAGGAAAATAAAAATAGAAAATTAGCAGAAAAATCGAAATTCAACTATATATACTGCACAAAAAAGTTAAGGATCATCAAATTAAATAAGTTTTATAAACACTGGATCATAGAAAACAGAATGCAGTTTTAATTTTAGTATCATATTTTAAATTCAGAAAGTGAAAATTAAACATTAAATGTGATTAATTTGTTTTATTACGAATACGAATTGTTCATTACGGTCACGTTAGAATTCGGCATATTGGGGGTAGACTTGAAAATGAGATTTTTTCCAGAAGAGTCAAATAACGTCACTAAAATGATTGCCAGTATTTTGTTTGAGCTCCTTGCGAGGCCCTGCAGCGCAGACCAATTCTGCTCATCAGCCGTCCAAGGCTAGCCCGAGGGATTTGTTGCCATTCCTCCTGCAATCCTGTATGAAGCTCCCGTTGATTTTGGGGTAGTGTAAGACGAACTGAAATGCGTTGCTAAAGAATGTTCCAGGTATGATCAATTAACTTCCGGTCTAGAAAACGACTTGGCGGGTCCATACGCTAATTTGTTTCACTGTCCATGTACTCGTTTACGATTCGGACTCTATGAGGTCTAGCATTATCGTCCATTATGTTGAAATCCTCCCCCAGAGTACATGCAATACGTCTAACAATAGGATGAAGAATATCATTTCGGTATTTTAAACCTGTCAGGTTGCCTTCAATAATGTGCAGATCAGTTTTGCAGTCAATACTTATGCCTGCCCAAATCATCACCAAATCTCCATTTACTCTGTATTGCTCAGAAATGACAGAATCAGCATATCTGTCCCCATTTTCAATCCAAACAAGTCTTCTGTCATCATGGAAGTCAAAACAAAATAGCGACTAGTTTGAGAAGAGAACAGGGCACCAATGACGTTATTGCCAAATTTTTGTGTTCTGTTGCCTATTGTAGTCGATTTCTGCGACACTCTAATTTTAATACAGGACGTACGGTTGGTCGGCAAGCCTTGAGATTTGCTTCCTGAAGTCTGTTTCAAACTGTTTGAGTAGAAATCCGTCTGTCCATTGCTCTCCGATGCCCAGTATTAAGCTTAAAAGCACTTTGGAAGTGGTGCGTCTCAGCAAAATTGGCCAAATAACGATCCTAACGGACTGCCATACACCTTGGACGTCCCGATTTTAGCCTTTTTTGACAATTTTCCGCCTGTAAATATTGGTTCAATAACCCTTAATTCCGCCTTGGGAAAGATAAAGTCTTTCTGCAACGTGACGTTGCGTTTTGCCAGCTTCCAGCATCCCTGATGCCATGGAGTGTTCGTCCATACTCATATGCCTCCTCATAGTGTCATATCACCAGTTCTGGCCAGATATACTGAAATTTTCTTATGTTCATTAAAGAATACCCTCTTTGATACTTCTACGATTCCATTGTTACACTTACTTTTTTAACGACACGTGCTTTATTGACCAATATGTCCCAAAATTCATTAAACACGTGTGACTATAGTATCGAATCATGTTAATGACACGTTTTTAAAACTACTTAAGCCTTGTTGTCACATAAATTCATTGGTATGAAAATATTATTCTTGTGTAAAAATATTATCCCTAACTTATTTTGCCCAGTATATATATGGCTGCAATTAATGTGCAGAACTGGTAAAGGCTTTGCTTTACTTGTTATTTGTTATAATTTAGGATGCTATTTAGAAACCAGAACAAAACGTTTGTTTTATTACGTTGGTTACATATCTTTAAGTTATAATAGAGCATAAACGTAAATAAAAATATTTTAACATCAATATGATTTACAGAATTGTTTTGTATTTGACCTCTTTTATTGATTCACGCGATGCAACAGATATAAAAATCTGTTGTTATGAAATATGAATATCATGAACGGAAGTAAAGCTGAAAAAATCTAGTTAACTAAGACAAAGAGCAATGGCCACTTCTGGCCATTTTAGCCCTTAGAATTTCTTAAAAATTAAAACTGCTGAGTTATGGTTGAAGATGCAGTCTTTATCACTTGGACTGTTGGTAACCATGAAAAATGTTGTAATTTCCGTCTGATCAATCCATAATGACGTCATAAATTGCATCATTTTCCAAATACTCTTTAAATTCTTTTGAAAAGGGCCTCAATATGAAGTATTTTATTTCACTATTTCACAATATCATATAGAGCAAAAAATGAAAGATCTGTTTCGAAAGATGAAAAAGAAACATGTGTTAATTTTTGGATCGTGGGCTGTGCTCTTGTTTTAATTTTTTGCTGAAGAGAGTCAAATTTTAAGAACATTACATATTCTCAAAGCCTGATTTATATTATATAGCTTTTCAAAAAATGTATCTTACAAAATGTAAGTACAAAGTTTCTACTTCTTTATTTTGATATATAAATGTAAGAAGTATGACACTTTAATTATTGTAAGGAGAGGGCCACTTTATGCATAAAGTGCATCAAGCTCTTAGGATCAGAACATGCACGGGGGTCTTAAACTTTTGATGCTATATGGGATCATGGAAGTGTTATTATCCCGTAATGACGTGCCACACCTGCCGTGTTCTGCTAGTACAAATCAAGCAAACAGAAAAATCCATAAAAAAATCAGTGTGAATAAATATTGTTTATTGATTTGTATGCAAATGTCAATCGACAATCGATTAAACGACAGATTGTGTATCCTGAAAAAGTTCTGGTAACCATTAAAGTTGCTAAGTGTTGACTTTGAAACCAGATTATTGATATCCTTCAAACTTCATGCTTTAAAGATAATCATACCTAGCGCATGTTCAACTCACCTAAGAAGAGAACCACAACGAGCAAGTTATAATGACCACACAAAAGAAATATTGGAAAACGAAACATTGAAGACATCACGTACTGCATAAAATTACCATCAACGTAATTTATTATTTTCCCCCCAAGAAATATCCAAATATGAAACAGACCTGTCCGACTCTTGTTTTTCATTTCGAGTTCAAAGGGACCATGTCAAATCAACGTAGGGATGGTAACAAAGTAATATCTTATAAAAACGGCGTTGTCATATCTAAAAGTCGAATTAAAGGCAAGAGCAAAGATTTTATTTGATATGAAAGTTTCTGTAAAAAAAGTCCTTCTATTTTGTGAAAAAAATAGGTTTGTGAATAAGGGGAGCAGGAAGTATCAATGGATATAAATTAGTTATTATTAAGACACTTGATCTCATAAATCAACTTCCGTACTATCAAACACTTAAGCATTGGTTTAAAATCAGCGTCGAATTACCTCCTTGTACTTATACAATAAAATGTTTTTTTTAATTGATTTTTGTTAATGTGATTCTGTAAATAACCAATAACAAGGTGCATCTACGAGTTAAAATTTTCAAAATTAAATAAACATAATAGTCGTATAACATAATATTCACTTTTTCAGAAATCAATTATCTATTTACACAGAACTTGTATTGTACAGCAAGTCAAAGAAAAAAAAACAACTAAGTACTGCTATTAAAAATAAAAAATGATACAGAATGTTATATGCCCCTTTACTTACCCTGTATACCAGCAATAAACAGTAAGAGGGAATGAATGTAAAATGACATTGTACTCACAAAGGTCGTCTGTTTAAGGATTGAAGTACTTTAGGTCAAATTATCACATGTTTGATAGAATATTTATCTCTGCGTTAGACTAAGTAACTAATTGAGATAAGAACACTCTTCAAACTTCAATCTTATTGAATCATGAGGTTTTGTTTCCATACTAAAATATCTCAACTACCGTTATGTAATATCCAATTTAATGTGTTATCACAGGATGTTGTCTTAAAGAGATTCTTTTTATTCCTTAATCTCAAAATATTTCAAATTTATCTTAAACGTTTGTGATTGATTTACTACACAATATTATTTGAAATTCCAAAATGAATTTACTTTTTACCAAATTTGCAGTTATACACGTTTTTATATTTTAAAAAAATATATATATAATTATTAATAACAATGATTAGATAAAATGATGAATTTGAAATTGCAGTATTTACAATAGATGTTTTTATTAAAGCTACTACGAGGGTTGTACGAAAAGTTCGTGGACATCTCTTATATATTTTTTATTTGACGTAATATGTTATCTAAATTTGATAAAATTTATTTTTACAATAAATTCAAATTATTGGAGTGATTTTTTTTAAATATCACAATTTATTTAAAACTTATCTGGATTTTAATAAATGCACAAATCTGGTCGTGGAGCAGGTCAGAATTTAGTAAGTTACAAACAAATACACTAAATATTGTATATGTAGTTATTCTCTCTGTCAAATGAAAAACAAAAAAGAAAAACAGCCTAGAATAATTCAGAATTGTCTGAAGCGGAATCAGAAGCCAAATTATGACTTGATATTTTGCTTGGTTGAAGAAGAAATCAACTTGAGAAGATAGGCAGTCCGTATTGAAAAAAGACAAAAAATAATGATGTTTTAGAACCTAACGGAGCAGCAGAAATGAAGTTAATTGATGTTTCCTATATCGAATGGAATTCATGGAATGACACTTTACACATTCAACTTTACAAATATTTTACATATTATATTGTGCTTATTTTAAATTTCTATTGAGTAATATAACGAAGATTGAGACCTCCACCAACTTTCGAACAACTCTCGAAGTAGTCCCCAATTTAAGATTTGGTGTTTGAAAATAAACACTTATCTTTTAAGGGCATTAATGTCATATATAATTTTACCTTTGACATCATGAACCTGACCTCTGCTCATATCTGCTCATATCTTTAAAGGGCACCTAGTGTATATACTAAAGAAAAAAAGGAATACGAATGATTTTCCGAATATCAATCATATCTCTGGCTCTAGCTACATATTTAGGTAAATGTGCAATGGAATCATAAAACCATTCTTTATTTCAGAGTTATATGCTGGGTAGTGTACAGTAATATCTGGATGAATTACTTTCAGTTCCAGAAATTCTTGAATTTAAATTTTCTTTTCAGATAAAACTTAAATCGTGTCTTAATACTTGAAGTTCATTTTAAGATATAAGATATGCTGAGGCCTACTGTCCGGACAACTGGAGAGAATTTTCCGGGGATTGTTATCTTTTCCTCACCCACCTTCCAATGAACTGGCAAAGTGCTTGGGTAAGTTTACCTCTCTCCTTTGATCCATAACTTGTCTTTTTAAGTATTTAAATCCTTAAAAAGAAATAAAATGTATTTGCTGACAATTGCAGAAAGTCGTCCATACCAGGGATGGGGTCGATTACTTTCAAAAGTAATCGATTAAATTACAATTACTTTGGATTTTAAAAGTAATCGATTACAAGCTGATTACAGACATTTTTAAAAGTAATCAAGTACATCTGATTACTTTTCCTTCATGTAATCATGATTACTTATGATTACTTTAGATTACATTAAATTTTTTTAATGTTCAAGGACAACACCATGTTTTTATTCTTCTTTCTATAAATATCATTAATATTTTTAAGGTAGAATTCAGACAAAGTTTCGTGGTACATGTCTTTATATAGATGCATGAGATTTATCTTATATCATCTGATTTCTATCTTTAATACAAGTTAATATCTTGTGTTATTGTTGAGAGAAAAAGAAAAAAAAATATATTATTGTTTATAAATCAAACTGGACATAATTATAGTTAGGGATAAAATGATTCGATAGAGAACGGTTACAGAAGTAATTTGCCTTCTTGATTAGTGATGAACTTTTCAATTAAGCTGCCAATTATTAATGTTTTTACTAGAATTGACACATTGACTGGTCAAGCATGGATACCCCTCAGTTCAATAATTGTTATTACTCAAGCTGACCTAACTTATGTATACCTGTGTTTTATCACTAATTAATTCACATTATCTTTTTATGTACCGGTACACTGTCAATCAAACAAAGTGATTTTTAGAATACACATCTCAATAAAGGAACATTTTATAATGTTTAAAAAAAAATATACAAGTTTATTAAAAGACTTATAGGGGAATTTGTTGCATTATACACTTCTTAATTAATTGAAACCAACAAAAAATAAACTTTAAAATGATCCTGTAGTAATTTTCTTTCAGTTTATACATACATGTACGTCAAGTCAAAAATGGCAAATTGCTAAGCTGCTAAAGTATATTGAAATGACTACTTATAAAATATAGCAAGGAACTGATAGAATTTACTCATTTCCTGGTTATAAGCATTTCTGAATGCATTAGAAGAAGATACCTAACTAAATATAGCTTATAATTTTAATAATAACTTTTGCTTATAAACAAATTTGTACACTGAGAAATAAATCACTGAATATCATCAAAAATCATGATTTTAGGAACTTTGTTTTAATAATTGTAATCATAAAGTAATCAAAAAGTAATCATGATTACAGGACTTTTTTCAGAGTAATTGATTAAATTACGATTTCTTGTAATCAGAAAAATGGGTGATTACTGATTACTTATGATTACTCAGCAGACTGTAATCGATTACAGCTGATTACGATTACTGATTACGATTACCCCATCCCTGGTCCATACAGCATTTAATTACTTTTTTGTCAGTAGTTTGTCCCCTTTCTTTAATTGTTCAGACGTGGCGTACATGTATATCCTTGCGTATCGAATTAACTGGAAGACATATACAAGATATTGATAATTGCTACATAATGCATGTATGTCATAAAGTTTTGTTTCCATTGACGCCTTTTAGTAAAATATCTAAACATGAAAATGATGTGTCAGACGCTGTGATATATTTTATATTGATTTTAAATGGATATATAGAATTAATGTAGAAATTAATATGTATACATACATGTATTTTTAAAAGATACGAAGTCTAAAACTATATTCAAATGAATAATTGAAAACCTTAGCACAAAACTATACTGAGCAAAATAAGTTTAGCAATTGCTTTTCCATATGTATGATTTAAAAATATTTTTCTTTTTTGTTTTATTATGCTTCTTCTTAAAAACAATAGAGATAAAGATAACAAAAGACAGAGTTTTTTTTTAATTTGACACGCAGAAACCGCTTCATCCAACGCTGTGACAATTCAATAAAACAAAAGGTTACGCTCGAACGCACATGATCCGGGAACAATTTTTTACTAGAAAAACCTTCTGAGCATGGTTGTAAAAGAAAACCGATGAAAAATTGCAAAAACGTCTAATGGCAAAAACACCAAGACTTTCCGAAAATAACGTTAAATGACTATAGGGATGCTAACAATTGGTTACTCGCAAAAAAGATGTCGCTGAACACTTTTGCTTGCATCAGTCCACCAAATGCCGACTTTCGAACTGATTCCGAACGACTGAACACGTAATCAATGGCCAGCACTTAGGACGTCCACGAAAAACAACTGTTATCAATGACCGGTTAACTGTTACAACGTCGAGACGTTACATTTTTATTGCTGCTCCTTAAGTTGCAGAAGGGTTTTGCCGTGTTACTGGAGTGAAGTTATGCGGGCAATTTGTAGGAAACAGGCTACGTTCAGCCATTGTTCGAGCTCAAAGACCTCTCAAAGCACTATCACTTACTCAACGTCATCAACAATAACGCAACGCAGGGGCAAACACAAATCGTCTTAGATTCAACTAAAACATTGCTTATTTTTTGTTATACGAAGAACATTTAACATTTCAACTACATTATAAATTATGGGTCAATTTTTTTCTACTTGATATACTAAATATCTAAATTGCTAAACTTATTTTGCTCAGTATATGTTTTTATGTGGATAATTTCAATGAATATGGTCTCAGATGAATAGAAAAAATAAGTGCTTAAACTGTGTATCCATGGAAGTTTCTTCCGGTTGTTGGAAAACTTTATCGCAAAAAAAGTACTCGGTAAAGCATAAATTTAAGATTTTTTTTAATATTACGTGATCATTAAAAATGCCCAAGTTTTATTGTGTTGCCTTTTTGTTTGATGAATTTTCCTTACAGAACACAGCTTTCTATGTTTGCTTTAAAGTGCATTTACAGAGCAATACATGTTATTTCCAAATCATTAAGGGTCCTCCACATCATGTGACTTGTGACGTATATAGAGAAAAAAATTACTTCCGGTTCGATCGAGTTTCTGTAAGAACGATTTTACCTAACACCGTTTGTAAACAATGAACACATGGCATGATCACGGAATGACCGATGGAAAAGGATGTGCGGTTTTTTGTTAAATAACAACAGACGTCTTGGATTTTGTTACATAATAATTCGTAAACAACAGGTACCGGTGGATATGACGAAAAACGTTTAGATTATTTATCCTTTCAGGCTAATCAACCGAGTCTGTTTTGATAGTTGAAATTTCGGCACACTAATTTGTGCGTTTCAATAATAATTATCTCATTGTTGTTTATAAATATTAATAAAATAGTGTGTGTTTCTAGTTTTCCTCTGTTATATTTGTCCAGTTCAGTGGCCAGTAATTACTAAATATAGTATGGTGACGTATGCGGAGACTTGCCAAAGTTTTTGAGTCCTGGGCAACAGGAGAGATAACTCCAAAAAGGAACTTTGATACCAAAG